TCTGGTTTTTCTTGCTTTCCATTTGCTTGGTAAATATTCCTCCATCCCATTATTTTGAGGCTATGTGTGTCTTTGCATGTGAAATGGGTCTCCTGAATATAGCACACCAATGGGTATTGACACTTTATCCAATCTGCCAGTCTGTGTCTTTTAACTGGGGCATTTTCTCATTTACATTTAAGGTTAATATTGTTATGTGTGAATTCGATCCTGTCATCATGATGTTAGCTGGCTATTTTGCACATTAGTTGAGGCAGTTTCTTCACAGTGTCATTGGTCTTAATATTTTGGTATGTTTTTGTAGTGGCTGCTACCAGTTTTTCCTTTCCTTCATATTTAGTGCTTCCTTCAGGAACTCTTGTAAGGCAGGCCTCGTGGTGACAAAATCTCTCTCAGCATTTGCTTGTCTGTAAAGAATTTTGTTTCTCCTTTGCTTATGAGCTTAGCTTGGTTTGGCTGAATATGAAATTCTGGGTTGAAAATTCTTTAAGAATGTTGAATATTGGCCCCCACTCCCTTCTGGCTTGTAGGGTTTCTGCAGAGATATCTACTGTTAGTCTAATGGGCTTCCCTTTGTAGGTAACCTGACGTTTCTCTCTGGCTGCACTTAACATTTTTTCCTTCATTTCAACCTTGGTAAATCTGATGATTATGTGTCTTGGGGTTGCTCTACTTGGGGAGTATCTTTGTGGTGTTCTCTGTATTTCCTGAATTTGAAAGTTGACCTGTCTTTCTATTTTGGGGAAGTTCTCCTGGATAATATCCTGAAGAGTGTTTTCCAAATTGGTTCCATTCTCCCCATCTCTTTCAAGTACACCAATGAATCGCAAGTTTGATCTTTTCACATAGTCCTGTATTTCTTGGAGGCTGTTATTTCCTTTTCATCCTGTTTAATCTTGTCTTCACACTTTATTTCATTAAGTTGATCTTCAATCTCTGATATCCTTTCTTCCGCTTGATCAATTCATCTATTGATACTTGTGTATGCTTCACAAAGTTCTCGTGCTCTGTTTTTCAGTTCCATCAGGTCATTTATGTTCTTCTCTAAACTGGTTATTCTAGTTAGCAGTTACTTTGACCTTTTACCAAGGTTCTTAGATTCCTTACATTGGGTTAGAACATGCTCCCTTAGCTCAGAGGAGTTTGTTATTATCCACCTCCTGAAGCCTACTTCTGTCAATTCGTCAAACTCATTCTCTCTCCTGTTTTATTCCCTTGCTGGCGAGGAGTTGTGATCCTTTGGAGGAGAAGAGACATTCTGGCTTTTGGAATTTTCAGCCTTTTTGCACTGGTTTTTCCTCATCTTCATGGATTTATCTACCTTTGGTCTTTGATGTTAGTGACCTTCGGATGGGGTGTTTGCATGGGTTTCCTTTTTGTTGATGTTGATACTATTGCTTTCTGTTTGTTAGTTTTCCTTCTAACAGTCCGGCCCCTCTTCTGCAGGTCTGCTGGAGTTTGCTGGAGATCCACTCCAGACCCTGTTTTTCTGGGTATCACCAGCAGAGGCTACAGAACAGCAAAGATTGCTGCCTGCTCCTTCCTCTGGAAGCTTTGTCCCAGAGTGGCAACGGCCAGATGCCAGCTGGAACTCTCCTGCATAAGGTGTCTGTCGACCCCTGCTGGGAGGTGTCTGCCAATCAGGAGGCATGGGGGTCAGGTACCCATTTGAGGAGGCAGTCTATCCCTTAGCAGAGCTCGAGCACTGTGCTGGGAGATCTGCTGCTCTCTTCAGAGCCAGCAGTCAGGAACATTTAAGTTTGCTGAAGCTGCACCCACAGCCACCCCTTCTCCCAGATGCTCTGTCCCAGGGAGATGGGAGTTTTACCTATAAGCCCCTGACTGAGTCTGCTGCCTTTGTTTCAGAGATGCCCTGCCCAGAGAGGAGGAATCTAGAGAAGCAGGCTGGCTACAGCGGCTTTGCTGCACTATGGTGGGTTCTGCACCCAATTTGAACTTCCCAGCAGCTTTGTTTACACTGTGAGAGGAAAACCACCTACTCAAGCCTCAGTAACGGTGATGCCCCTCCCCCCCACCAAGCTTGAGTGTCCCATGTCGACTTCAGACTGCTGTGCTGGCTGCGAGAATTTTAAACCAGTGGATTTTAGCTTGTTGGGCTCTGTGAGGGTGAGATCCACTGAGGAAGACCACTCGGCTCCCTGGCTTCAGCCCCTTTTCCAGGTGCATGAACAGTTCTGTCTCACTGGCATTCCATGTGCCACTGTCATATGAAAGAAACTCCTACAACTAGCTCAGTGTCTGCCCAAACAGCCACCCAGTTTTGTGCTTGAAACCTAGGGCCCTGGTGGTGTAGGCACCCGAAGGAATCTCCTGGTCTGCGTAATGTGAAGACTGTGGGAAAAGCATAGTATCTGGGCCAGATGGCACTGTCCCTCATGGCACAGTCCCTCGCGGCTTCCCTTGGCCAGGGGAAGGAGTTCCCCGACCCCTTGCACTTCCTGGGTGAGGCAATGCCCCACCCTGCTTCTGCTCACCCTCCTTGAGCTGCACCCACTGTCTAACCAGTCCCAATGAGAAGAACCGGGTACCTCAGTTGGAAATGCAGAAACCACCTGCCTTCTGCATTGGTCTCGCTGGGAGCTGCAGACTGGAGCTGTTTCTGTTTGGCCATCTTGCCTGGGAATATAGCCCCCAGTTTTCTAACCAAGCTCCCTCAATGGTTCAAATTAGAGGACCAACAAAGGGCTTTTTACAGTATCCTGGCCAGCCACCCTGTTAGTCCTTTGGTTGCATAGTGAGAGTGAAAACAACAGATGATAAGATTGTTGACCAGACTCAGATTTCTAGATTCACTTGTTTCAATTCTGCTGGTTATCAAACCTCCTCCTAAGGTCATGTGGATCAGATATAGTCCAGATATTAACTGGCAAATTTTGAGCATGGAAAACATGGCTGCTGCCCGGATAGCAAACACTGGCCAATGGAAAGAGTGGCATAAAAATGGCTATCTGCTCAATCCAGGCAATGGCCTTCTAGAGGAGATCTATCAGATTGGTCACAAAACAACAGGGTCTCAAAGGAGTATGATTGATGGGCCCTCCAACAGACAGTGAGCCACAGTGGTCCTACCAGGCACTAAGGTCCATATGGTGATGTCCACTATGAACAGTATGAGTGTTATTTTCTCTTTCTCAGTGAATCTTGAAATTTGAGTAGTTTGCTTCCTTGATGAAGGAAGTAACCTTATCAAATTTAGAGTGATATATTGTGGGGTCTAACATACAGATCCTTCCTACTTTTACCCGGATCTCTCATCTTTCACAAATGAGCATGACTAGGGGTTAGTACAAGGTCCCTATATCCCCAGTGGGGAACTGAGGACCTACACTTAGGACAAAGTTTGAAGTGGGGGTGGGAAAAAATGACATTTCTTGGGCCTTTTGGATACTGGTCAACAAATTACTGTGATCCTCACATTCCCTGACATGAGGATGAGGAGGAAACAAATAATTCTTCCTAGTTTTTAATCTGAGGTCACCATAAACAAGACCTCTTTCTAAACAAACTATGGGGTAGATCCCTTTGGGTCACTATAAATCCCTATTGTCATGGCCTCTACTACTGAATATATTACTGGTTAAATATATTTTCTATATGAACAACTCTAGCATTTACACCCACCTCCTGATGGGATTTGCAGCAGTCCAGGTATTTTGTGGGATATGTGGAAGATCATGACCTACCAAACTACTGGCACCTAGTACCAATGTCTACCAAAACCAGTATTAATACTCTGGGGACAAAAAAGGGAATAATTTCCACCATTGCTGAGCTTTAAGAAGTCGATTATCTGTACACTATTTCTGCATTCAATAGACCCATCTGGCCTATGTGAAAGACCTCAGGTGCCTAAACCCTGTACTGATAAGGGTTCTAAAAAGCATAAGTGCTACCTTTGGCACCAGTGGTAACCTGACATTGTTGGCACCAGTGGTAACCTGACATTGTGACAGTCAGAGGCTGTTCAGGATGAAGGAACTTGGTATGTACCAGTTGACATAGCAAATGTCCTTTCAGCATTCCTCTCCATGAGGATTATCAGGATTAGTAGAATTATGTAGGATAGGTTACAATAAACCACTAATATCTTTCCACAAGGCTTCCAAAATTCCCCAACTATTTGTAATCAATGTATAGGTTATGACCTGGACAAAGTTCCACTCCTGGAAGAAGCATTAACCTTCCACACTGTTTATGAAATCATCCTAGTGGGCTCAGACAAGGACACTACCCAAAAGGAACCAGATGCTCTGTTCACCCACCTGCAGCATGTACTGTGCCATTATCATTGGACAAGGCACAAGGACCTAAAACCCAAGTGAAATTCCTGGGTGTAATCTGTAAAGGCTATGGTGTTCCATTCCAGAGATGATGATTGTCATGCCTTCGGCCAGTTCTGACTCAAAAAGTAAAAATAATGTGAGCAATAGGAGGGACCATTCATCTGCCACCATGCTCACATTCAAGCCACAGAGATCAGACAGCATCCTCTATCAGGTTGCCATAAAAACCACTACCTTTGAATGGGGCCTTGATCAACATGATACCCTGGAAATCCTTCTACTGGCCACCTTGGCTGCCCTTATACCTCTCTGATTTCCATTTGCTGCTTCAGTTACAGATCTCGGCAATACCTCTGCCTACCAACTGGGACTACTACAGATCAGACGTGCCCATAAATGGCCAGCAGCAGATGAAAGGTACCCATCTTTTATGAGACAATTATTGGCCTGTTATTGTCCTGAAATGGATACTGAGAGCATAAATTAAGTTGTGTAATAATATTATGACAAGAAATTCTAACCAAAACATATCATTATCTTTGTTTTTGTTCTTGAGTTATGTTAGAGTATTTACATTTTAGAGTATAAATTATCTATAAAATATATGTACTCAAATACATAAGTATGAACCAAAGAAAAAAGTTCTTTTGAGATTAATTTAAAATAATATAAAATAGCTATCATTATTATACTTACTGCTACGTCCTTCTCCTTCAGAAGTTTCTTGTTTCTCTAATTGCACTTCGATTTTTGACACTGCATCTTGATGTTTAAGCATAGGATTTTCACTTGATTCTTCACCATGTGCTATGTTAAGAGAGAAATTTAGTTCCTTACTAAAAAAACAAATCTACTGTGAAAGCCTAGAGTTCAAATTTATAACAAGTGGAAGCAACATTTTCTTTCATCTTATAAAGTTAAAAGTAAACTACCTTAATGCTAGATCTGACATGAAAATGGTGAGAAAAGTTTCAATGTGTGTTGAAGCCATATTATTATTTCATAAATATTCCCAGATATTAAGTGTGTTTTATATTAGTCTCTACTTTCCTTAAGTTATTTATACTTTAGGTTAATACATAATCATAGACCAAACAATGAAAACGCATGTGCTCAAGGTCATTCATTACAGCATTATTTGTAATTGCAAAGTATTCAAAACCATTGAGATTTTTAAGCACAGGAGATTGGTTGAAAGAACACATATATACACACACACATATATGAACATATATATACACACACACAGAGTTATACATGTATATATATACACACACACATATACATGTATATATATGTGTGTGTATATATATATACCAGAAACAATAGTATAATATAAATTATGGTACATAATTATGTGTATCTATGTGTGGATGAATATATACGGTCTATGATATGGTACACATGGCTGTACATACAGTGAGAAGTTACCCTCCCATCTATGCCGATACATCCTACCCTTGCCCAATGTCATTTTGTGGGGAAAATGTAATATTGATGGAGTCAGTGACCTTCCATGTTTAGACTCTTGCTTATGTTGTTGCAGTAAGTGAATAAAGGCTTAATTGTTAGCTTCAATTTGGCTTGCTATCTTAATTGACCATCTTCACACTTGGCAGCTCCCTTGGTGACAAATGGCTGTGAGCAGGGTGGTCAATTAAGCACAATGCCTTTCTGGAAAAGCAGAAAGCATGCAGATCCCCAGGGAATTTGTGGGAGATGCTAGAGTTGAGACCTCTTGGGGGGTACTAGTGGATCATCCGCAAGAGTCGACTGTCCCATGGTGCACTCTGCCAGCCCTATCAGTAGGTCTCAGAAAGTGCTGTCCAACACCATGGGGCACTCTCAGAGAGTGCTAGCAGATTGTTTACATAAGCTTTTTGGTTCTGAGGGACACCAGTGGCCCTTCTCCTTAGCCCTAGACTCTCAGGCAAAGATGCCTGGTGGGTCAAATTAGAGATCCAACAGAGGGCCTCTGAGAAAGCTAGAGAAGAAATTCCTTGGCCACTGCTATTGTACCCTGCAGATGAGATTGAAAGTTTTCAGAGAACCTGCGAGCTAATTTGCACCAATTCTAAAGCTAATTTATTTGCTCTTAGTTCTAAAGAGGTACCAGGCAATGACAGACAGCCTATGACCCAGCAAGGGATTGAGACTCGTGGTTTAAACAAAAGGAATGGAGAGCCCCTTTGGGATTGCTTTCCTGTGTGATCTAGGAGAACTTAGAGGCATGGATTATTTGCCTGCATGATGAAAGAGGTAATCTTGTTAAACTAACTTAGTGGTACCTTGTGGACTGTGTCACTATAAAATGCCTCCTTTAGAGTGTCATAACAGAAGAGGTTTTGCTCAAGGAGGACAAGCCAAGTCGGAGAATGAGAAGGGAACACCCAAGCCCTTCTTTTTCAACTGGGTTGTATTTGGGTTCTGACAACTTTGGCACACCCATGCTATCTTCCCTATGATTAAAATACATTTTTAGACCATGGTTGCAGAGGCTATACAGCCCTGCAAACCATACTGGTGATCTCTTGGTCTCTTGCTTGAGAGTGAGAGCAGTTAATGATGAGAGTGAGAGCAGTCAATGATAAGATTTTTTTAAAGTCTCAGATTTCTAGGGTTATAAGTGTCACTCCTACTGGTTATAGAGCCAAATTAAAATTAACTCTCCTCTAAGGTCAGGCAAATTGGTCAGTAAAATAATCTAGATCGGGGTCCCCAACCCCGAGGCCATGACCAGTACTGGTCTGTAGCCTGTTGGAAACCGGGCCAAACAGCAGTAGGTGAGCAGTGGGCGAGTGAGTGAAGATTCATCTGTATTTTCAACGGCTCCCCATCATTCACATTACTGCCTGAGCTCTCCCTCCTGTTAGATCAGCAGCAGCATTAGATTCTCATAGGAACACAAACCCTACTATGAACTGCACATATGAAGAATCTAGGTCTAGTTTTTTTATGGTTAATTAATTAATTAATTTATTTTTATTATACTTTAAGTTCTAGGGTACACATGCACAATGTTTGTTACCTATGCATATATGTGCCATGTTGGTGTGCTGCACCATTAACTCATCATTTACATTAGGTATTTCTCCTAATGCCATCCCTCTCACCTCCCCCAACCCCATGACAGGCCCCAGTGTGTGATGTTCCCCTTCCTGTGTCGAAGTGTTCTCATTGTTCAAGTCCCCTATGACTGAGAATATGCGGTGTTTGGTTTTCTGTCCTCACGACAGTTTACTGAGAACGATGGTTTCCAGCTTCATCCATGTCCCTATAAAAGACATGAACTCATCCTTCTTATGGCTGCATAGTATTCCACGGTGTATATGTGCCACATTTTCCTAATCCAGTCTATCATTGATGGACATTTGGGTTGGTTCCAAGTTGTTGCTATTGTGAATAGTGCTGCAATAGACATACGGGTGCATGTTGTCTTCATAGTAGCATGATTTATAATCCTTTGGGTATATACCCAGGAATGGGATCGCTGGGTCAAATGGTATTTCTAGTTCTAGATCCTTGAGGAATGACCACACTGTCTTCCACAATGGTTGAACTAGTTTACAGTCCCACCAACAGTGTAAAAGTCTTCCTATTTCTCCACATCCTCTCCAGCACCCGTTGTTTCCTGGCTTTTTAATGATCGTCATTCTAACCAGTGTGAAATGGTATCTCATTGTGGTTTAGATTTGCATTTATCTGATGTCCAGTGATGATGAGCATTTTTTCATGTGTCTGTTGGCTGCATAAAAGACTTCTTTTGAGAAGTGTCTGTTCACATCTTTTGCCGCTTTTTGATGGGGTTGTTTGATTTTTTCTTGTAAATTTGTTGAAGTTCTTTGTAGATTCTGGATATTAGCCCTTTGTCAGATGGGTAGATTGCAAAAATTTTCTCCCATTCTGTAGGTTGCCTGTTCACTCTGATGATAGTTTCTTTTACTGTGCAAAAGTTCTTTAGTTTAATTAGATCTCATTTGTCTATTTTGGCTTCTGTTGCCATTGCTTTTGGTGTTTTAGTCATGAAGTCTTTGCCCATATCTATGTTCTGAATGGTATTGCCTAGGTTTTCTTCTAGGGTTTTTATGGTTTTAGGTCTAACATTTAATTTGATGGGGTTGTTTGATTTTTCTTGTAAATTTAAGAAGTTCTTTGTAGATTCTGGATATTAGACCTTGTCAGATGGGTAGATTGCAAAAATTTTCTCCCATTCTGTAGGTTGCCTGTTCACTCCGATGATAGTTTTTACTGTGCAAAAAGTTCTTTAGTTTAATTAGATCTCATTTGTCTATTTTGGCTTGCTACATTGCTTTTGTGTTTTAGTCATGAAGTCTTTGCCCATATCTATGTTCTGAATGGTATTGCCTTGTGCTTTCTTCTAGGTTTTTATGGTTTTAGGTCTAATATTTAAGTCTCTAATCCATCTTGAATTAATTTTTGTATAAGGAGTAAGGAAAGGATCCAGTTTCAGCTTACCATGGCTGTGGCCAATTTTCCTAGCACTATTTATTAAATGGGGGAACATTTCTACTTCCTTGTTTTTGCCAGGTTTGTCAAAGATCAGATGGCTGTAGATGTGTGGTATTATTTCTGAGGGCTCTGTTCTGTTCCATTGGTCTATAACTCTGTTTTGGCACCAGTACCATGCTGTTTTGGTTACTGTAGCCTTTGTAGTATAGTTTGAAGTCAGGTAGCGTGGATGCCTCCAGCTTTGTTATTTTGAATGAGATTGTCTTGGCAATGCGGGCTCTTTGGTTCCATATGAACTAAAGCAGTTTTTCCAGTTCGTAAAGAAAGTCATTGGTAGCTTAATGGGGATGGCATTGAATCCGTAAATTACCTTGGGCAGTATGACATTTTCTACAATATTACCCTTCCTATCCATGAGCATGGTATGTTCTTCCATTTGTTTTATGTTCTCTTTATTCTTACTGAGCAGTGGTTTGTAGTTCTCCTTGAAGAGGTCCTCACATCCCCTGTAACTTGGATTCCTAGGCATTTTATTCCTCTGAAGCAATTGTGAATGGGAGTTCACCCATGATTTGGCTCTCTGTTTGTCTGTTATTGGTGTATAAGAATGCTTGTGATTTTGCACATTGATTTTGTATCCTGAGACTTTGCTGCTGCTATCAGCTTAAGGGAGATTTTGGGCTGAGACGATGTGGTTTTCTAAATATATAATCATGTCATCTGCAAACAGGGACAATTTGACTTCCTCTTCCTAACTGAATGCCCTTTATTTCTTTCTGCTGCCTGATTGTTCTGGCCAGAACTTCCAACACTATGTTGAATAGGAGTGGTGAGAGAGGGCCCTGTCTTGTGCCAGTTTTCAAAGAGAATACTTCCAGTTTTGCCTCCCATTCAGTATGATACTGGCTGTGGGTTTGCCATAATATCATTATTTTAGATATGTCCATCAATACCTGGGTTTATTGAGATTTAGCACGAAGGCTGTTGAATTTGTCAAAGGCCTTTTCTGCATCTATTGAGATAATCATGTGGTTTGGACTTTGGTTCTGCTTATATGATGGAGTACGTTTATTGGTTTGTATATGTTGAACCAGCCTTGTATCCTCAGGATGAAGTCGGTTTAATCATGTGTATAAGCTTTTGATGCTGCTGGATGCAGTTTGCCAGAATTTCATTGAGGATTTTCATCGATGTTCAATGTAGTCATTACCCAAAATCTCTTTGCTGCCCTGCTGCTAGGCTTTGCATCAGGATGATGCTGGCCTCTGATAAAATGAGTGTACTGTGAGGATTCCTCTTTTCTATTGATTGGAATAGTTTCAGAAGGAATGGAAATG